GTTAACCTGTATGGTAAAAATTAGAGCTGATAGTTATTGGATTTCCGGCACCAATGTGTTATCCATTACAAGGAAAAATTTCTAGCAGTTGCACTGAGAATGGCACTTTTAAAAGCTGAAAACGTCCCGGATGGAGGATACCTTTACTATTGCTGGTGACGATTCGCAACATTTTGGGAAACCGGCGCCAATCGTCACTGAATTTTTTATCGACGAATCTCGATATTCCGAATTTCCGACATTTCACATTTCGAACCTCATACCGAGAAAATATCACCTAAATAACGAGCGCAACTGCCTTCGAAAGTATTCATTTACTTTAAAAATCTCATACATAAAGTGTCTTTGTGTCGCCGCCCGCAATTCTACATGATTTATCTGGCATAAAGGGGTCGCGGCGGCCATTTTTCAGTTCTCGACTGTGACTTCTACGCTGTTGAAACGGAAGTTAAAGTGTGCGATTACGAAAACTTTCGCGTAACTTTCTGGTTAGATTATCAGCTTACATTGCGGCTCATTTAAAATTAAAAATATGATGGGTCCCATTTAACCCCTTGCGCGCAGGCTTGTCTTTAATTCGTATTGGTCCGATGGTGCCATTTTAGACGAAATAGAAGAAACATGTCACTCGTTTCGTTGTTTATCATTTTTACAAATGATAATGTAGAATTATGAGTATCAGAAATGTGTCTACTGTGTCATTAAGCAATACATTTGAATCTCTCAGCTTGATAATCTCCGTAGCTTCTGATAACTTCAATTTTCTACTTTTTGATACTCTGTGATATTTCAAAATTGTATTTTTCTGTAGTTACTAAACTCTCACTTTCGTGTGCTCTCTTACGTTGATTTATACAAGAATCTACCTGTTTGTTCTATATAAATTTTGGGACATGATTCGCTCCTGATTTTTGAGATTTTTTGAGCATTCGATTTGTTTTTTTCTTAAATACAATTTTTAGATCACACCACAAATGCTTTGCTACTTTCTTCTGGGTTCTATTATATTGCATAACTTGGGTTCAATACTCAATTTAGGGCAAATGGAGTTCGCGGTAATTTGATACTGTTTTTTGTTTATTATTTTTTCAATTCAGTTCCAGTATCGCCAAAAGAAATTTTTACTTAATGCATGTTATTATAGAATATTTTCTAAATTCTTTACAAACAGCTGTGTCAGTAATGGGTTAAGTCGATATCAATCCTTCTTTATAAATATAGTTTTCCTCTAAACAAACTATTAAACTATCTATTAAATTTTATCTATAATGTATATAACATCTATTACGGTTCGTAGAATACTTGAAGATTAGTTTCGCTCATCAAAAGAGACCAATGTTTCATTATCAGGAATACTGGTGCCTTTTAACTTTGTTGATTAGTTCAAAAGGGTTTATTTTGGCGAATTTAGGTTTGAGATTAAAGTGTGTTGCCCTACAATATTTATTAATTCATTATTCCAAGCTTTAATTTTGGTCGTTGTGAATTCACTATTGTTAATTGCTGTGTGTCTCTATCGTTAAAATGTAAGAAGTTTATAACTAGGACAACGAATTTACGGAACTGGTTTGTTTGCGAATTGCATTGTGGGAGATCAATAGTTATTAATGTCTTTCCTTGCTATCCACGTGTAAATATTGCATTATTTTCAGAGGCAGAGACAGGATATTGTCAGCTGCTATAGAGTAAATAATCATATTTTTATAAAAATTTGAACTATTTTGTGTTCTTATTTAACGTGTCTTCATCAAGTAAAAGTCGGTTAGAAACATGTTTAAAATTTAATTTAATTACGGTTATGAACGACTTAAATTTTCAAGGAGAAAATGTAAAATTTTATTCTGAAAATGAAATTCTAAACAAATTTAAACATTTTTTTGAAGGATATTTCGTAGACAATCTTGGTAAGTTTCCATTGAAACATGCTAATGATTACCACTAATGCTCGTATTTGAAAAGATAATAAATACATTAGGAAAAGGCTGCTGTTTAAATTTTAGTGATATGATAATAAATGCTAATAAAATTAAATCCAGTTTCTTGAAAATTGACAACATTTTTCTGAAACGCGTAATATGTGAAAGTGAAAACAAAAAACCTGAAATATTATTAAAGATGAACAAAGATTAAAATTGGTTCCTATTAATGAAGTTTCTATCGCATTGCCGGCGATAAAATGTAAAAATTTTCACAACTTAACTAGTCTCGGAGGTTCCAAAAATTTGCATGACCATCTGGCGATCAATAAATGTAGACCAAAGTTGCGAAAAAAAAAATGTTTTAATGAAATGCTATTAATTTTCTTTTAAATCGTACGATTTCGTAAATTAACCCCACACCTGACACCATGAAACATTTTTCTACTCCCTTATATATGCCTAATTATACACCGATCTAGCGTGCGGGAAACGAACGTTTCTTGTCCCACGAATCCGAGTCACTTCGGACATTTCCGGGATATTACCGAATGGGGAATCCATTGATTCCTTGGTCACTTTCATACACGGGACGCAAGGGGACGAATTTTTTTATTTTTTCCGAAAAGTAACTCATTCTACAGAAGATGTATCAAACCGATCACCCCAACATTAAACTAACAAAAGAACTTGAATAAATGAAAAATGATATTTTACAGTATTTATGTATTTTCTCAATCTAAATTATATGTGCTTCAACTTGGTAGTTTCCAAGCTATATTTTGCAACAAGCTAATTGCTTTTGAATGGGATTATCCAGGGGTGGTCATTAACATACAATGCAACCAGATTATTACCTAAAGATTCGGAATTTAAGTTCAGGTAAAATTGTGGTCCGTAATAGAAAATAATTTTATACCTACCTATGTTTAATATTCTTTGGTTTGGTATACTATTTAGTTTAAGTTTATTAGTAATCATTCTTATTTCGTGTGTAATTCAGCGTGTGTTGAATTGTGTGCGAATTATGCAAAATATGTGCGAGAATAGTGATCTCAGGAGATGCTCCCGCCCAAATGTAGAAAACACTATTCTATTGAGACTAAGGAAGTTATAAACAATATTTATTTGATTCTCATTGAACGTGGTGCCAGCAAGCAAGGATCTTCCAACATCAACTGTATGGAAAATTGTGAACAATTCAGCGAGGAAAAAAAGAAGCGATGCTGACATGTTCTCGAGTGCAGATGAAAGTGATCAAGATACAATACGGCGTAAAATTTAACAGTTATACGAGGAACAAAGCATGCCTACATTAGACATCTTAATTAGGAGGCTTGAAAAAGATGAAACCAGTGTTAAATGTGGCAGAACTAACTTATGGAAGTGTAGTCAACATATGGGTTTTAGGTTTTAAAAAAATTCGCAAAAAGCGAGTTTTAATGGAATCTTTTAGAATTTGAAAACGGCGACTGGAATATCTAGAAAAAATTAGGATTTACGGAGAACAACAAAGGCCAATTATTTACTTGGATGAAAGCTGGTTCGACACTTATGATACCCCGGAAACGGGTTGGGTTGACTCAACTGGTAAGTCTAAAATAAACGCGTCATCAAAAAGAGGTAAAAGAATAACTATTTTGCATGCTGGCTTTGAAGATGGTTGGATTCCAAATGGACTTTCTCTGTCTGCGAAAAATATTAAAGATTCTTCTCTGGATTACCATGAAGACAATATCGCTGATTTATTTCAAAGTTGGTCTAAAAACAAACTAGTTAGCTGGACAATGCAAGTTATCACAGTAGACAGTTGACTAAAATCCCTTCCTCATGTGACACCAAAGCAACAATGCAAAACTACATGTATAATAACGACATTTATTTTCACCAAGATTATAACAAAAAGCAATTAATTGAGGTTCTACAAAGCTTGAACCTAAAAAAGGAATATATCTGTGATAATTATGCAAAAAATCTAAGGCATCCAGTTTTAAGGCTTCCACCTTATCACTGTATATTTAATCCAATTGAACATGTTTGGCACTAACTGAAATCTCCCACTCGTCGTAACAATGTTATTCCCCGTGTTAACTCCAATGTCCTCAAACTTATAAAAACCGAAGTTTTTAACATCCCTCCACAAAGTTGGGCAAATTCTGTTAAACATATAGAAAATATATTGCAAATAATATAGAACAAATAATAATTAGAACAGGCGATGATAGCAATAGTGATACTGATAAATTATGTGAATAATTTTAAGTAATTTGAGTAGGTAATAAAAATGATTTGTAATTTTATTTTTGATTTAAGCATAAATACACACATAAATAAATAAATATTGTTTCTTATCTTTCCTAATAAAACCCCAAATAATTAAATTCTAAGCAAAGTACGGACCTGTTCGGTCATATTTCATTCTTACAGCTTGCCCGGGTCTTTCCTTAATTCGTATCAGTTAGTTACTTTCTTATATCTATAAACAGACTTTACCTTCAAGTGGCACTTCGGGTAAAATGTGAAAATACAATACCAAATGTAGTTTAATGTTGCCTTAATGCTTTTTAAAAATTTTAAAATTGAAAAATTCGCAGATTAAATTCATTATAAACAACGATACCTAAAACCGAAAAAATTGCTTTAAATTATAGCAAAAGGTTCAAATAGAAAATTAAAAATTTCAATGCACGAGTTATTTTACCATACACCCTGAGAACCTGCTGAGTGTACAAGATTCGCAACATATAACAATCGGAAAGATACGCGGCAGGCAGTCAGTTGGAAATATTTATGTTGGAAATATTTATGTTATGTGCATTCTTGTAAACTTGTAATTAAAAGATAAAGTTATTTTTTAAAAATCGGCAGCCACGCATGAGCGGTTATTTTTAATAAAACGCAAATTGCTAAAGTCCATCTATCATACAACACTGCTAAAAAAATATCCAAATTCACACTTTTATTTTATTTTTTGAAGTGTCCAAGTGGAACTTTCTATTCACTGAAAATTATGTTCTCTAACATTTCGAGATTTATCCGTAGAGAATAGTCAGGATAGCGCCTCATAGCTAAGCTTGTGCTCACCATTGACGTCGAGACATCCCTTCTGAATCTTCATCATGTTAGTGTTCACTTGACACAGGTAACAGCCCCGATCGGACTCCCTGACTTGCCTGATGCGCAGTTGCCACGTTTTCAGGTTGTCGAACGTGACGGAAATACGATTGTTGTGCGTGACGACTTTTCCGCCGAGACTCAGGATCGTTTGATCTTCTGCTCTGACCCAGGCCACCTGAAAATATCGACCTACCGTTATTCTTACGGCTTTTCTATTGTAGCTTAGTAGGTTCGCTGTAAAATTGACCGATAGGTCCCTTAGGAATTCCTTGGCTTGTCTTTGCCCCGGCATGTCCCTCCACCATCGTCGGGATTCTCGGTCCATCCAATCCCTGATGGCTGTTGTTGCAACGGGTTTGGCCACCCCACAAAAGGATTCTGGTCCAAGCGTGGTAGACCAAGAAGAAGATTTATAGGAGAGAATATTTACTAATTTTAGAAATATAGCAAGAGAATCGAATGGAGGAAAATTACACAGATGTTGGCCTGTCAAAAATATAATGAAAATTTTAAATCCAAGCCCTAAACAGATATACAGGGTGCGGCAAAATGATACGTACTAATTGGGATGTTAATAAAATCCAAACCACATAAAGAAAATATTTTTTAAAAATTATTTTTGAAATGTACATTTTATGCCCTTTTGGAACATTATTTTTTTAAAATGATGTCTTTTAAATGACGGCTATTATGGTCGATGCACCCTTGTAGGTTCTCGTGGAAGCGCATCATTACCCGATAGATTATTTCTTAGGGACACGAGGCAATTCCTTGTCTTTAATTCTTCCCAAGTCAGAGGACGATGTGTGAAAACTCTCGCTTTCAGGTGAAGAAAAAAGTCGCAAGGCGACAAATCAGGCGAATGTGGCGGTCAGCCAAGTCACCCTGTAAAGACACCACTTTGTTTAGGAACATTTCTCGAAGAAGATTTAGTGAACGACGAGTTGTGTGCGTTGTTCCTGATGGAACCAAAGATGTTCTCTTTGATCGTTGTTCAACTCGTTCACTTTTGGACGCAGGAAATTGTTAAGCATATCAAAATATCGATCACCGTTGACTGTTACCGTTATTCCATCTTCTTCGAAAAAGTAAGGATCCCGCACGCCTAACTCCGAGATTGCACACCAGACGGTTACTTTTGGACTGTGAAGAGGTCGCTCATGAAGTTCCTGTGGACTATTTGCTGCCCAATAACGGAAATTTTGCTTATTTACGGTACCCGAGAGGTGAAAGTGAGTTTCATCGCTAGACATGAATACAGCGCCTCTGGGAATATTTTGAAGAATATCCAGGCATAAATTTGTACTGGTTTCAAAATCTCTTGCGCTTAATTCCAGCACTACCATCATTTTGTACGTATGCATTTGAAGTGAGTTGTGTAAAATTCTTAGAACACTTCTATCGGGAATTCCCAAAGCAGCTGCATGCTTACGAGCTGAACGCCTTGGAGACTGTTGTACGTAAACTCTTACTGCATTCACATTTTCCGGTGTTCTTACTGTCCTTGGGCGGCCAGTAGATTTTCGGTTAAGCACAGAACCTGTTTTCCTAAAGTGTAAAACCCACCGACGAATTGTTCTTCCATCCGGAACCGCACCATACCGACCAACATCAAACTGATTACGAAAGGCGCGCTGCGGCGCTATTACAGACTTCCCATTTCTAATAAACTCCTCGACAACGAAAGTACGATGCACTCCGCTCCAAGCCATGTCACAGTGTTGCCGGTTTTACAAATCGAACAACCACTATTTGAAATCCTGCCTACTTTTTTGTCGCACCCTGTATTTTTGTATCGAAACTCATTGAAATAAGTGTACTATTTAAAATGAATAATAATAATTTAAAAAATGCCCAAAAAATAGTATCGCCTAAGAATGTTGGCTATTCTATCCATTAACTTCCAAACAGATTCTTTCAAAAAAAGGGTCTGAATTTTTTAAACTCAGCGATCGCCTCGCCAAATCCTCGGCTAGGGATAAATGTGCTGTATATATATATTTTTTTTTGCTTAAAAAAAGCTGACGTCAATAAAAAGGCACAAAGCGGCACACGCATGCAGTGGTAAGCGTAAAAAAGGGACTCGAATGCGGGCTAAAAGACATTAACGGCTTTTTGTCTCCGGCTACGAGCCCGATTTTCTTAATGGCGCCTGAAAGCAAATAAGAAGAGGGCTCCGCACGCATTTTTTTGCGGAATCTAATGACGCCGTAAGTGATTCCGGTTGGTTTTTGTTCCCCACGGTAAGTAGATAAGTGTGTTGTGTCTATATAGAGTCGAGGAAGGGAGTTAACTCCGACGCCGAGCCGAATAAATTGCAGATTTTGGCGGAGAGATCGCATCGTGCTAGTACTTGAAAACTAACCAAACTCACCAAAACTGAAATTCACGAATTAAACTTCGAATTGTTTCCTCAGTCACTTTATTCACCTGACATAGCACCTGCTGTATTTTCTTACCTCTAAAATTGGAGTGATGGACAAAGATTTGAGCAAATAAAAAAAGTGGTTTTTATGGACGGGGACCTTTAGAAGTAACTATTAAACGGCTTGAGATGGCGATTTGAAATTTGGGAGGGTTAATGTAGGCTGAATGTCCAATTTTTTGACAATATGTAGTCTATATTTTTTTGCATTTTGGAATTCAGGAGATCATTCTTCGTAGGATAGGACGGTCTTTCTCTTTTTATTTGTTTTTTTAAATTTTTATTTAATTTTTGAAAATTATGTCTAGGAGGCTGTGACCGTCATATTTACCAGGTCACCTGATCATGGAAAAAATTGTAAATGAAACTTTCTTTACTTGTCTAATGGCAAATAGCACTTAATGTAATGAACTATTAATTTTTTAGGATAACCTAGTCTTTTTAAATAGCACCCTAGTGGAAACAAAAACTTTTTAAAACCGATACATTTTTTGCCACATTTTGACACCAAAATTTTCAAAATCCGTTAAAAAATAAGCTCACAGGAACAAAAACCAGATAAGTAAATACATTTTTATAAAAATAAAATATTGCTTAGGTGGATTTGCATCTATTCACTATTAATTATCAAGTCGGTAAGATTAAAAATGTAGAAGAAACTCTCGACAAGCTCATGCAGTGGAAAGAAAAAAACAGATTAATATTTAAAAAAAATCAAGGAGATTCAATGATTAGAATGTTTTGTTGAAAGTGTTTTATTACGGTAAAAAGTTGTTATGCTTTTAGAATACGGGGATTCAGTCAAAAACTAACGTAACTATTGTATATGTACGTGCGTCATAAGCTACAAGCACTTTTTACCGGAAACTCAGAAGAACAAGAGAATAGAAACATTTTTTATTTTCAAATATGTCACTTTTTGGGATAATTCAAGACAATATTTTTAAAATTTGTTAGAAAATAAAACGTTAACAATGTCGGTCGAATGGATTTGAAAATGATATATCAACGTGTGTTACTGCAAGGCAAGTTTTACATTGACACAAATCATCACATTCATTTATTTTGGAACTGGAAGAAACGCGCCCACTGGTTCAGTAGATTTAGCTTGTTAGAAACTCTAAGAAAGAATTTCATTTCAACTCTTATGGGAACGGTTTTGTTTTTTCTCAAGCCACGGCGATGGCTACCTAGCAGCAATGATGAAAATCCAAATATTTTGGGCAAATTATGCCTTTCAATTGTACCCTCTAAACATGACTGTTGTCGAATAAGTGAGGTTATGTATCACTTCTTATAATCGAATAAAGACTTCTTAGTTGTTTGTTAACTAGTTGACAGTCTTAACTGAATTCCCCATATTAAAGTGTAAAAAACCGAATGTACACTATGAGCTAGAGACTTTTCTCATTTCCACTCTTCCTTCACTTACGGTATTCTTTCTGTACTTCCGGTATACAAGAACATATCTATCCAAGTACAAGAATTTTTTCACTTCGTGATTCGATTTTCAAATATACAAAAAGTAAAATGTAAAACTTTCAAGCAGCAGGAAAGTAAACGAAAATATTATGACCCTTCTTAAAAGGCACCACTTTTACTCGGCTAGGAGACAAGCGTGCTGAGGTCAGGATTAAGGTTAAAAAGGTTGTGAAAGGAGCGACTGCGCAGTGATTTTGTATGTTCCTGTTATGTCGTTTGTGTTATTTGGAAAATATCTATTTACCTTATATCTTCCCGAGATATTGACAGTGCAAGCAAACATGGCCTCCTTTCCAGCCGAAACTGTAATGTTTCCAATTGAGTGTGTCGCGTGATGCCGATTGGACGTGATCCAGTCTTCTGAAATTCAAATCAACTACATTGGTAAAGGAGCTATAATTGATCCATGCCATAGCCGTAGCAATTGTACCAACTTTTTTCCAGAGAAGAATAAGCAAGTCTAATTAATTTATTTAATAACTTGTTTAGAGCTAATAAGTTTGGGGTACTGGAAACATTGTTTAGCAATCTCTCCTCTAACCAGACGTATATCATCAATTAATTGAATTTGTAGCAAGCCCACGAAAAACTTGGATCTTCCTTTGGGCAATTTAAACCAGTCTTAATGCTACAAACTTGGTGTTGTATAGCGTGGTTTGTACATCAACACCATAGAGACCTAGAGACCCGTCCAGCTTCCATCAGTGGAAAAATTGATCGAAGAATTAGAGATTATATTCACAGAAAATCAGAAAGTGTCACTTTGAGACACAAAACTAACGATGTAAGAAAAAGTATACCACGCAAACTTCTTCAATGAATTATGCGCAACCAAACTTGTGAGTAAAATGGGGTTTATCAAACTTGTTGCACACTACTATTAAAATCCGAGCTGAAACTTCTTCTATAAGATAAGATATAAGATTGGCAGTTGTAAGGAATCTGAATTAATTATTTCACCCGACTAATTAATTGGCCATCTCCAAAATGCGGTAATTAGCGAAGAAAACGTTTCATTTTGGGAGTTCGCCGAGGGAAAAAAATGATAAGACAATTACTTCCGCAAAACAGCATTTAATTTCTAGAGCATAATGAAATTCCCAGTGAAATAACAAATACCGGTCGAGCTTTAATTAAATCGCTGAGCATTATTGATTTAGGCGTTTGGTGGGGAATAGTTTTCGATTGCAAATTTGACGTATAGGGTGTTTTTCAAGATAAATTTGTTTTTATACAATCATCAGCAATACTACAATATTTTCTATCGGAGATATACGGGGTGTTATTCAATAAGTGAAAAGTTTCGATAAACGTGTTTTAAATAGTGTTTTCGAAATATAAGATGTCAAAGTTTTATTTGAAGATGAACATTTCAACTGTGATCTTGATTTGGTTTTTCTCCCCGATTTTATTTTTATTTATTGTCGGACTGTTTAATAATAGTTAAAAATAGTACATGACTTATAATTCACTATATTTCGAAAATTGTTTCTCTTGGCGCTTTCTAATCGATGTCCTTTTTCATGTAATTTTTTTCTTGTGCCTTTGAAAGTGAAAATTAAGAAGAAAATTCTCATGTAAACAAACAAGAACCACGACACCTTAAATATTACTAAATATTTCGAAAAGAACCTTCGAAACCTAAACTTTGTTCGAGTTTTATAGCTGTTTATTCAAAAAACACTGTTAGCACTTTATCTTAATAAATAGGTTAATAGGTGTTAACCACTTTGCTACTATAGTTTGGTCCACTAATTTCCGGACACCTGTATACAGGGTGTCACAGTAAGGGCGACGAGGTACGGTACTAGCGAAATAGATGCTCCTGAAATGGCTACCAGGAGGCGTAACTGTTATCTTGAGTTTCAAAACTAGCTTTTTACAAAATTTTCTAATGTTTAATGTTTTAATGTTTTAAATGTTTTAAAGTTTTTGTTGTTATAAGTGACACCATTGTGAAGTGGGGTGAAACCTTTGTTTATGGTTCGATTTTGATAATTTCTTTTTGTTGGACAGATTTTTGAAAAATGTGCTAAAGTCTTATTTTACTTATTGCTTGAACCTAAAGTCATCGCCAAATAGGACTATTTAATAAAAGCGACAGAAGAGAGAAGTATTACTATGGATTTTTTAAGGAATAAATTGGAAACGACTTCTTAGGACCTAACTATAAACATTTCTAGTTTCAATTCAGGGTGTTTGAAATATCGTTTATTTATTATTATATATTAAATGTTTGTTTACTGTTTGGTTTTCATTCTTTTGTTGGATAGATCTTTCAAAAACGCACTAAACCTTCTGTCGCTTATTGTATCAACCTGACGTCATCACCAACTGGAATTATTTTTTGCAGTCAAATGTAGAGAGGGCTATTATCAAATTACTTAAAAATACAGTGACTAATTTTTATTCAGAACTGCCTAAAACATAACCATAATGGGGTTTTTCATATAGCGTCGACTAAATTCATGGCCAACTGACAAAATTTTTTGAAGCGGAATATCGAGAAGTACTTTTCTTGGTTTTTTCAAATTGAAAATAACAAAAGATTCGAAAAACAGTATTGATTTTAGAATGTAAAAAGCATTCCAATAAATGACTTATTGCCATTCATTTTAACATATCTATCACTTCAAATAAATAAAAATAAAAATAAACTATAGCTGTCACCAAATTCACGAGTATGCAGATATTTGTGTTTATAGGCTTTTAGTCTACATTTTTTCAACTGTCAGCAGATGCAGTTTTTAGTAATATTTAAGTATGCACTTGCGCTCCTAATATTCCTAATAAGCAGAAATCTTTGACTTAGAGGAGCAACACGATTTGGATGTTGGTTAGCGTTTATCGACAGTCTCGCTCTGATCAAAATGTTTATTTATATTCACAACTCTATTGTGAGTAATATTTCAGCCATTACAATTACGTCTTATGTAGTCCTCCAGTGCGAATAAGGATCAATTGGCACTTTATTGTCAAAAACTCTTATAGCTTCTCTCGATATTTGCAATCAAAAAATAGTCCCGGTTGGCCATGACTTCAGGTTGATCTAATAAGCAAAGATTTTAAAAGGATGTACCGGGTATCCCATTTTGGGCACTTTTATTAGAAGGTTGCTCACTATATCCCTCTAAAAACGTTTCCTGTAGTAATATAATTCCTTGGGCATTTTCATTGCATTGTGTCAAACATATTAAAACATTTTTTATAATTTTCATACACTGGCATTATTATAGAAAATTATTTAAAATGAAATTAACACAGAGAGAACAAATGGATTGGTAGTAAAAATATAATTAATAACTGACAGTCTCGTAAGTTCGTGACACATTTCCTTTTTTGTTTTTAATAGATGAGTCATAGCCTGACATTATAGTAACATAATACTGACCATATTAATAAGACACTATAATTTTAAAAAATATATTTTCATCCTGTTCTTTTCGAAATTAAGTAAAGAATCTCTTATATAATATTAACTGCTTATATGTATCTTACTTTTAGTTGATTTAGTGATTTGCTGTAGCCAACTGCTACAAATAAAGTAAAAAATGAAAAAAATAAGAATTTTGAGCTTCAAAACAATTCATTACTAATAATGTACAGTGTGTTCCATTTAAAAAATATATTTGCTTCACAACTAAAAAATGATTAGAGCAAGTAAAAAAACAAACTACTCCATGGGATTCTACGGAAAAAAACCCTATATGGATCTTTTTAGACTCCACAACAACTCACAAGACAACGGAGATACGGGGATGGTCCCAAAATCGATAGTTTTAGTTTTTAATTTCAAAAATAACTGAGAAACCCCATAAAAGTGTCCAGCCTTAAGCGTTTCGATATTTCAAATACCCTTTACTGAAACATGAAATTGGTAAGTGACCCCGAATAAGAATTCTCTGTCAATTTATTCCTCAAAAAAATTAATAGTACTTCCCTTTTCTCTCTCTTTTGGTAAATAGTCCCAGCGGGCATCGGAATACGGTTTTAGCGCATTTTTTAGAGATGTATTCAACAAAAAAAATATATCAAAATCGAACAATAAACATAGATTTTACAAGTGGGACATGCTGTATGTATTCGACTGAAGAACTAATTATTTATTGTTTTAGCTACGACGGCTCCGTTTAAATTAGAACAGGGACAGTCGGGTGATTCTCGGATAATATCGATTCAGCAGTACACCAGGACACGAATTAAAAATTCATTTTCGCATTTTCGAGATACAAAGGAGCGGTAATTAGTCGAAATTGGAAACCAACGGCAACGGGTAGCCTCGAGTGTGAATTTGTAGAGTTTTTGATTATGCGGGCGACGAAAGTAACAAACCGAAACCAGAATCTCCGGAAACGTCGCCGTAGTTGTATAGAGTGCGTCTCGGTGACAAGCTAAAGCCGTTTTAAATGAAACGCGGTCGGTCGCGAAATTGGAACGTTCCTTTTGCGCGCAATGGAAATTGTTACACTAGTTGGAAATTGACGATAAATTCACTAAGTAATGGAGGCCTATCTTCGTGACTCCTAATATCTCAACATAGTTTTGTGGTTTTACTTGTGCGTCGACCAATGTGACGATGAGAACGCAGACGATTTAACGCACCGAACCGTGAAAAATGCCGAAAGAATGGGGCTTATTGAACGATAAAAAAACGCAGACAATTGTGAACAAGATTGCTTTCGAAAATCGTCGCTGGGCGGGGTAAGTTCGTAGTGCCTAGCTCGATGCAGATTTTTATTATAAAAAGTGCGATAAAGGGACGCTCCTGCGTTCCGCTATGGAACTTTCGCAAAATCGTTGTAATTTAATCGTGCATGCACCGTGTATAAAGTGTCCTTCGCATCTCGTCGAACTTCAAAGTTACCGCAAACATCGGTAAAATATTAAAATGACATTTTTTCAAATATCTCACGGAATGTATAATTGACGAAACCTGAAACTCTCTCCCGACACAGTTTACGATACCGTTCAAATAAAATTATCCCATTTCTAACGGTTTTCTGGATCTTTTAGATTTTTTGAACGACACACCCTGTACATGATTCAAACAATGTTCGAAGTAGAGGTTATAGCCCTGGATCTTCCACGTTTCCTGGTCCAAGAATTTTTTGAAAATAGTAAATGGTTTTCAAGAAAATAAGATTTTTCTGAAACCATGCAGTGCGCCGTAGTAACCAATGACGTCATCGCGTATTGACAGCCCCGAAGTAACGATTTCAATACGGATTTTTTCAAATATTCCGAGCAACGTATGTGACAGACGAAAACCGCAAATACAAAAATTTAGTCTCTTGATGCGGCCTAAGACACTGTTAGAACCAATTAGCATATTTTTTACGATTTTAGATTTGCGGCTATTAATTTACTCTGCAAAAGAACAATTTTCTAGGGCTTTTAGATTTTTGCCTATAATTTGAAAACCTTGTATGTAATCGAAAAAATGCCTGACATAAATGTTATTGCACTGGACCTTCCGCGTCTGCTGGTTAAAGAATTTTGTCGATCGGGTGGACGATTATGGAGAAAAACATTTTTCTGCAAGATAAAATTACCAAAAAAATTTTAAAAATTTTTTGATAAATACTTTGATGTGTTGATGTCTACAAATTTAGGACACTTAAGACATTTCTCATTTAGCACAGAATATGGGGAACACCTTGTGCAATAGGTGAAAACCTTAAATATAAAAGTTTTTGCTGTCTATGCGGGCTATATCGCAATATAAAAAAAAATGTGATCTGAATCATAGTCTTTCAGTTATAACCAATTTTCAATAATAGCGGCACCCATTTTTCAGTTTTTTTGAATTTCTGGTTCAAGAATTTTTTTGGTATCGTAAACGGTTTTTGAAAAATTATGTTTTTTGACCCTTGCACACGCGATTTTTTATTTTTTTAGAATTCTTCCCGTCCCCCCCAGCCCCCCATTTTCAATAGGTTCCCGGGCAAAAATGAATATGAAGTCGATTGCTTCTCATTTCGAACACTTATCGTGTTTCATAGCAATGTCCAAAAAACCGTCGAAAATCGCGAAAGAAAGATGGACACCGGCGTCGGATCAGGGCCATTTATTATAAGCTTATGTGCCTCGCGGAGGCACATAATTTTGTAGCTCCAACGGTTCGAAAATTATTCAGGAAAAACCAAAAGACGAGAACGGAGAACGGGCAAAAAACCAAAAAAACATTTTTTTTCCACGGTGATCATTTCTGTACCAACGGCGATCCCATATAGATAGATATAAAATTTTTATACGAGCGTAGATACTTTCGAAAAATTCGATTTCATCGATTTTCGAAAGTAACAAGATATAATGAAAAGAAAAACCAGATCGTTCCTACTTTGGTTTAACTTAATAGGAAGCTAGAAGAAGATGAAACCACTGTAACTAAACTTGTCACCCTCCATAGAGCTATTTATAAAATGCGACACACTGTATCCCATTTTGGCCGCAACTGAGAGGTATATCCGTTGTTAGTGAAGATAGAGCCTTACGTTTTCGCAAACCTGGGTACTTTTTTGTGATGAGTTTAACAAAATTTCATGATTTAATTTTTAAAATGTGTGGTCATTTTGGAAATGTGAAGTTGTGAATGTGAAAAATAAAGTTTGTTTTTTTTTTATTCCACTTGGTATTAGCTCCTCAAAAATATATAACAGTATGGATTTATTTTAATAAATGACTTCACAAAAATGATGTTTTTGAATTTTCATGAAGAAGCCTTATTTATTCCTGACGATACTTACAAGCTAACTTAGTTTAATATTAACATTAAGATTAAGATTAACAGTTGGGAGAGCTAGCAGTCAGCCTGTGCGTCACTGCGACCCAGAGGATCTATTGTGACTCTCTCCATAGCTGTAGAGCTTTATCCAGGTTCGTCTTTCTAACCAGACTCCACAACTAATATTAATTAATATATATTATTAAAAAAGATAAACCAAAACGAGAAGAATTATTTAAAATATATAAAATTTATTGAATATCAGCGTTTTTTGCAAATCTGAACATAAACATTTTCATTTACAAAGCTAAGAAACTGTTCGAAATGTCGACCATTTGCTTTAACGCACAACTTCCATACAGTTTCAATACTCTCCAAAGCTTTCACGATAACAAGTCATCTAAAACTTTCAAAAGGTGCTTCGGTGGCTGCTCGGAGCTTTCCGATATTGGTTTCGGTGTGGCCTGTTTCATAGTAGGCACTAAAATTGTATATCGTATTTTTGAAGGTGTTTTGACTGCCGAGTTGTATATGGAACTATTGCAAAATGTTATACCGGAATTATTAGATAATGTGGTGCACATAAATTCCATATTTTTTCAACAAGATGAGGCACCCGCTCATAATTCTAGCCAAGTAAGGCCCTTTTTAGAGGACAATTTTGGAGATAACTGTGTGTAGGTTGTGATATTTTGAACTTTAATAATAATGGGTGTTTTTTTTCGATGTATAAAACTTTAAGTTGGCATTACTGTTCAAGATGGCGACCGATTTACCAGCTGTCAAGTGATTTATTCTCAGTTTGGTTTGGCAATTCGTCATGAATTCATCAAGTAAGGCGTAGATTCGTCGAATGGGCCCAAAACGAGATTGCCGTTGTTCCCAATTTTTATAAGCGAATTTTGTTTAGCGATGAAGCGCACTGCTGGTTGAATGGCTACGTCAACAAACAAAACTGTCGCATTTGGAGCGAAGCCAATCCTCAAGTGTATGTCGAAACACCGTTACATCCAGAAAAACTGACTGTTTGTTGCGCTTTATGGGCTTGTGGAATCATTGGACTGTACTTCTTCAAAAACGATGATGGCCAGAACGTTACAGTCAATGGTGATCGGTATAGAGCTCTTTCATTCCTGAATTGAATAACCATGATGTCCCGGAGATGTGGTTTCAGCAAGACGGCGCAACATGTCACACAGCTCTTGCCATCATCGATTTATTGAAAGACACGTTTGGTGACCTCCTAATTTCACGTTTTGGACTTGTGAATTGGCCTTCAAGATCTTGTGATTTAACACCGCTAGACTACTTTCTGTAGGGCTATGTAAAGTCATTGGTCTATGCGGATAAGCCACAAACGCTTGACCATTTGGAAGACAACATTCGCCGTGTTATTGCCGATATACTGGAAAAAACATCGAAAATTGGTCGTCCAGATTGGACTACATCCGCGCCAGCCGTGGCGGTCATATGCCAGAAATCATATTTAAAATGTATTGCCACAAGATTATCTTTCGAATAAATAAAATTCATGTCAATCGAATAATCCATCGTTGTTTTATTGCAACTTAAAGTTCTATACATCGAAAAAAAACATCCCTTATATAGATCATAAAGCTATGTGAAATGTTAATGCTAATAATAAACTAAGTTGCCTTCATGCAAATGATAAAAGTTTGTTGTGTAAGTATTGTCAGGAATTCAAAAAAAAAAACTTTGTTTTTTCAAAAAGACGAAACCATTTGGAAAAAATATGACTACGCCACTGAATTGTGAACAATCGATATCGGATGCGTTTTTCCTCTTTCGACGATCCATAGGATATCCGAGATAGGAGGGGTGACCCAAAACTTTAAATTTCCAAAATCACCCTGTATTTTAAAAACTAAGCGAGTTATGAAAATTTTGTTAACGCCATCTTTCGTTACACAGAAAAGTACCAAAGGTTAGAGAAAACGCAAGGCTCTATCTTCACTAACAACGGACATATCCCACACAGTGTACAATGTGTACAGTGTACAATCAATCAATCCTAACCGAGACCATTACTATGTAAATTTGTTTCTTGCATATATAAGGGAAATTACCGCAACTGACATAATTTCAACAGAAGCTTAAAACTGTATTTTAGGAAACTCTTCCCTCATTGCTAGGGACAATTTTAGCTGTACATTAAGATTAAATTGTTACTAACTGATAAATTTATTAATTTTTCTAAACCTCGGTGTCTAAATCGAATGGATACAGTTATATTCTCGATAATATTCCAACTTATGCTTCGAAAAGGGCTAACATTTTATCTACACGTTATTACCCTGTATTTCCGTTAATGTTATGCGAAAAAAAACTAAAACATCCTATATTTTGTATAACATAAAATCACACAAAATGAAACTTTACCGTGGTATGCCAAAACGGTCCAATCCAGTATTCTGGTGACGTACATGAATACAGATAGTCTTAGTATTTTCCTCAAAAGACCAAAATCTTTTGAGTTTAACATCGCACTTTTTGTGGAGCAAAAATCACTAACAAACTCCAGACACTTTTTGAGTTTCGTAAGAGTACTTTAAAAACGGGAATTTGAAGCAACCGTGATTGTGCGCATGTTGGGTACACTGTAAAAACATTTTGTCGTCTATTTCTTTAAAGCATGCGTAATTAGTCGGTCTTTGTTGTCGTTGAATGTGAAGTATTGCCGCGCACGAGTTTTGAGGTTAAGAATCGTGGATAAAAGTCGCCCTTCCACCCCTGGCATTCGACAGACTGAAATGCCCCTGCATGCTTTCGATAGTAGAGCTAGTAATTCGGAGGACATGCGCTTTTACAGTACACAGACGGAGCAGGGCAAGTTTTTTGTTTTGTTTCTGTTTCGCGATGTACCTATGCAGTCTGCGGGAAGTAGTTAAGTCGGACGTAATCTTCTTCGAAGAAAATTTCTCCCGGAAACTCCGGGGATTTAAGTTTAAAATCCACCTAACGATTATTAAACTTCGGCGGGGCTGTTTTTGCCGGGCGCGTAAAAACGTCTGTCGTCTTTTTTTACGTATTGCAAAATTAATACATTTATCTAGTTTTCGTCGTGGAAAACGAATTTGATTTTTTAAAAAACTTTATTCAAGCGAGATGACAAAAAAGCTAGCGATGTGGTTCGCACCGTGGTTTTATACAGACAAATTGCTGACGCTTTGAGAAACAAGTAATATAATATGTATGGGAACCTTTACTCAGCAGTTTACAGTATTAAAGCGTTTATAACTCCTCCGCCCTTAGATAAAAGCACGGGTACAACAAGTGCTTTTAAATAACAATATTTTCTTTTTGTTTATTAATTTTAGATTTAAATGGAAAATATTTATATAATAAATAAATCAAGATTAATATAAGTATTACGTATAACAAAATTGTCCAAACACTAGTTCTCGTAGAATATATACGTGATGACATCTTTCCAAGGTTTTCTTTTGCTTCGTCCATTTGGATTTGCAGCTCCTTTATTTCCTTTAGGTTAATCGTGTCCAATGTGAGTTCTGGTGGATCGAAGATTATTTTCTGTTTATGTAGTAGTGAGAGATTCACTTCCGGTAGACGAGTGTCATCAAATCTCAATCGATTAGGGGTATAGGTTCTTAGTTCAGTTTTTCCAATTTGTACTTTGCAAATTGGGGAGGATTCGATAAGGTGGGATCCAAATAATGGAACAGTATTAATGTCGTCATTACATTGTACTGTTGCTATTATCTTCTTAGGTGTCACAATAATCCATTTTCCATTTTGGATTTTAAAAATTTTTATTTCTTGAAGTTGGATTTTAATTGGTTTACAGTTTGTTATATTAGTCTTGTGAGTTATTATTTCCACTGAACAAGGCGGGTGTTCCTTCATATAGGTAATATGTATATTTTTACACATGAACTCATTTTTTAATAGTTTTACGCATTCAGAGTCCATAAATGAGTACATATTTCCACTCAATGCAAGATATGGTTTGACCGGTATATTAACGTAATATTGCAGTTCTTGTTCACTATTAACTGGTAGCGGATACAACTGGTAATATTGATAAATTTCTGATTCTAGTAGCGATAGTTCCAAAATAAATGTTATTATTAGTCCTCTAGAGTAGCTTTTTATTTCTATAATTTTTTCAAAATTTAATATATTTTCGACTGATAACTCGAACGGTAGTTGATTTTCCTTTAATTCTTTTTTAATGTTTTTAATTTCTTCGAATAGATCAGATGGATCAATTATCGAATTATGTAAAGTGTTTAATTTGGCAAAACTAATTGCGGTTTCAATTTTCTCAAAAATGTTATATATTAAATTATACATAAAGGTAATTTGATTCATTACTACATGTATTTGGAAATACTCATAGTCATTCGTTTGTTCAATGGTTATCTTTTTAATTACTTGATCAATTTGTAATATTTTAGATTTAAGGATAAATTGGTTATGAGAAATATTTGATATCGAATTTTTAAATGAGTTGATTGTTTTTTCTAACAGTTTTATTTGATTAATTGAATTGATTCTTAAATTATTTTGGTTTTCTTGCAGTTGTTTGATTTCTACATCGTATTTTTCCGCGTCAGATTGGTCTAAGTTTCCAGTAATACATTTAATAATAGAACCGATTGGGTTTAATAAGCCTCTTTTACTTCTTATAGATAATGGATTGAGTTGACTAATTTGATTTTCAATGCGTTTTTCTAATGTTACAAGAGGGATGACTGAATTAGAATATTCGTGAAAATAATTAGTATTATTTTTAATCTGACTAATTAATATTTTTACTTGATTATAGATTACATAGAATTCAGCAACAGCTGGGTTTAAATCAAAAATTTGTATAAAGGAAAAATGGTTGGAGGTTATTTTTGCGGTACCTAGTTTATAAGGAAGGATTCCTGGATAGTTGTTCAGGTTGTGGATTTTTACTTCGTTTGCTCCGATGTTTGTGAGCCATCTGGAACAATGTTCATTATTTTAGTCTCGTTAACGTGAGTTATTTCTTTTTTATTTGTTTTTGGGTTTTCTATTTCGATTTTATTATTATCTAAAATTTTTGTTAATATGAATGGTCCAGAAAATTTTTTGTTTAATTTACTTTTTCGACTTTCGGTGCGCTTATACACTGTTGCGCCAATTTTTAGTTCTACTGGAGTTTTGTTTTTGTTAATTTTATCGATCGTTTTTTGTTTTTTTAAAAGGGAATCATTATGTACCTTTTCGTAAAGAAGCTTAGTATTTGTTTGATGGTTATTTACGTATTCACAATATATTTGAGAAGGAATTAGGTTCATAGGGTCACGTGTATCAGTGTGTCCTAGTGTTAATTCAAAAGGCGTAAAATTAGTATTTGAGTGTATAGTACTGTTATATGCAATGATCGCATAGGGCATAAGTGAAATAATATCGGAATTTTTATCTATTTCCTTCAATAGGCGTAAGTGTTCGATGAGGGTTGAGTGAAAACGTTCGATAGGTGAATTGGATTCGTGGTGACTCGGCGTTGTGAAATGGATTTTAATTTTATGTATTTTTAATAAAGAGTCTAGAACGTCATTTTTAAATTCTGTTCCGTTGTCAGAAACAATTTGTTTTGGTATTCCATAGAATGAAAAGAAATGTACTAATTGTTGGCATGCTGAAATCGCAGTTCCAAAATAGGGCAATGCCTGTCCAAACATAGAGAATTTGTCAATTATAGTTAAGAATTTTTGTCCGCCGGCAATAAAGGTATCGACGTGTATGATTTCAAATGGTTTAGAAGGTGTTTCAGTTAACATTAAAGGTTGATCTGGTGGTTTTCGTTGATATTTTGCTCGCTGGCAAATTTCACATTCGTTAATATATTTTGTAACATCTGACTTTAAGGATTTCCAGTAATAATTATTTTTTAAGAATTTACAAGTTTCTTCTATGCCTCTGTGATTAGTTTTACCTTCATGTTTATATTTAATTAATATATTTCGTTCTTCCGGTTCAACATTATTTATTAATTTTGTGCATTCGATTAGTTTATAATTTTGAAAATGTTGGGCGATTACTTTTTGTACAATTGGTCTTAGTTGTTGAGATAAAAAGTGAATATACGTCTTTTTGTTATTTAAATGTTCTTTGAAGAATTTTGTTAAACTAATTTCTTCTTCTGGAATTGTGGCATGTAATATATTATGACCGTCGAAGTTTTTAAAGTTACATTTAACATAAGTAGAATACGGAGATTTCTGAAGTATTATCTGATTTGGTTTGTTGTTAATAATTTCATTTAATATAGGTATTCCTTGTAAAGATTCGTCAGTATTTGTACTATGAATTGTATTTTCAAAAGCCGGTCTTAAAAGTTTGTTTTCGAGAATGATTATTTTTGGGCTCTTAGGACGTTTATTTTCTATTTCTTCGAGTGTTTTCGAAATTTCATTTGAGTCTAATTTATTCGGATCAAAATCGTTGTCTAGAAATTTGTTAATATCAAGATCAATATCTCCAGGATTATTGTAAATAGAGTCGGTTTCTAAAGCATTTAATTTTATTCGTGACAAGGCGTCCGCATTTGTGTTTTGTTTACCATTTTTATAAAGAATTTCATAATCAAATTCTTCTAGTTTAAGTCTCCATCTCATAAGTTTTGAATTTGGTTCTTTTAGGTTAAATAACCAGACTAATGGTCTGTGGTCTGTAAAAATTTGGAATTTTCTACCGAAAAGATACGGTCTAAAATATTTACAGGCCCATACTATGGCAAGTAATTCTTTTTCCGTTGTAGAGTAGTTTTGCTCGGTGTCATTAAGTGTGCGAGACGCGTATGCGACTGGGTTATCGTTTGGTGGTGTGCCTTGTGATAATACGGCACCTAACGCGTAATTTGATGCGTCTGTAGTTAACACGAATTGTTTTGAAAAATCTGGATATTTTAATATTGGGGCATTTATTAGTAATTGTTTTAAATGGTTGAAAGCTGTAATAAATTCAGGGCTGTGTTCTACTTTAGATTTTTTCTTTAGACATAAGGTCATTGGTTTTGTGATTTTAGCAAAATCTTTAATGAATCTTCTGTAGTATCCTGCCAATCCTAGAAATGACTTAATTTCTTTTTGTGTTTGGGGGAGAGGAAAATTTTTTACTACTTTTATCTTGTCAGGATTTGGACTAACGCCTTCTTTAGTGATTTTATGACCTAAATACGCTACTTCTTTATGTAGAAATTCTGATTTATCTAATTGAATTTTAAAGTTTGCCTCCCTTAGTCTCTGAAAAATTTTTCTTAATCGATCAATGTGTTCCTGTAGGGATGTGGAAAAAATTATAATATCATCTAAATATACTAAACAGATTTCGTTTTGGAAGCCTCTTAGCACATTATTCATAACACGTTGGAACGTCGAGGGTGAGTTTTTCAATCCGAAAGGCATGCGTTTAAATTCGAAAAGTCCAGTACCAGTAGAAAAGGCTGTCTTTGGGATGTCATCGGGATGCATTTCTATCTGATGAAAACCGTTAGCTAGATCCAGAGTTGAAAAATACTGAGCTTTACCGAGTTTATCAAGAATATCTGAGATATTAGGCAAGGGAAATTTATCATCAATTGTTTTTTCATTAAGTTTCCGGTAATCTATGACAACGCGCCATTTACGTTTATTTGATGCATCTAATTTTTTTGGTACGATCCATATAGGACTACTCCATGGGGAATGTGAGGGTTGGATTATATTATTTTTTAGCATTTCGTCTATTTGTCT